CTCCCTACTACTTTTCTTCCCCTCCCTCTCTCAATATGTCTAATTCTCCCTACTACTTTTCTTCCCCTCCCTTCTCACTTGCTGAACAGAGGTAAGAACTATATGGTCCATGAAATCGTATCGGTGGTTCAGTCACAAAATACTAATACTAAAGATTGAATTGGTAGGCGGTATTTCACTTTACTAAAAATTTAACTATGTTTAAACCACGATTGTCATAAAATATGCTATTGTTCACTTTTTCGGTACAACCTCCGGTACAATTTCATGCACCAAAGCATGTCTTAAACTAACTTGTAATAAGTTGCACCAAAGTGTAGAAATAAACGTCATATGGTAATTGACCATGAAGTGGTGTCATCTTCTAGGAGGAGACTGGCGAGAGGCCGAGAGCAGACATGCAAAGGAGTGGGAAAGAGGAGGCACTGATGGAGTAATATTTGTTTTATCCCCGGTTGGATCCGGTCCAACCTAAGTAGGGCTTCAAAACGATCTCCAGAAAGCCCCCCAGTCCGACCCCTAAAGAGGGAGAAGAAGAGAGGGGGAAGAGAGGAAGAGGAACGAAGGAAGGGAGATGATGGGTGGGTCATGGAGGTTAGATAGATTTATTTTGTGAAAAATAAGTTTTTAATATATACATGTAAGATAAATTTCATTTCAGGGATTAAATCTTTAATTACTACATTATTTATATATATATTTAGAAAACGTCTAAAACGGCTCAAACCAACCGGACCCCAATTAGACCATTAAACCTCAAACTCGTTACTTGTCCGACTCAATTACTTCAGCCTTGCTACTACTTCGTTTTCAAAAATGAATCCAAGAGTCGAAATCCGTAGTTACATGCCAAAATTAGGCCCCTAAGCCGATGATCAGATCTCATATTCACTTTAGTCAGTCACTCAATTGCTCCTGAAGAACAGCAAAACTTACGGCAGAGACCAAAAACAAATGCCGTGTCTCATGTAAATTAAACGTAAGAAGCATCGGTTCACTCCATCATAACAATATGGAATCATTGGCTGCTTGCTTCAACTTCAAGACCAGCGCAGGTTCCTAACCGCGTGTTACACTTTTCAACTCACAAAAGCCCGTCGATCATTGCGAAAAGGAACACACCAGATGTGTTTACTTGCCGTACCAGTACATATCAGAATGGTAATCCTTCAGTGCTTCTTTGTTCCTCCTGTTCTCCTCCTCTTTTGTAGCCTGATATTGGTGTTCAGGACATTTTGGCCCTCGCGAAGAATGTCCCGGCAAACAATCCGAATAGAATGCTGAATAGATTTGGCATACTGATAGGGACCTTGAACATCACCAGACCCACAACAGATATAGGAATCTTGTTCAGGGAACCAACTAGGCTGCTCATAAAGGAAACCCCGACAGTGATCAGAAAACCGTGAAGGTGGTGGTATGGAAATTTAACTTAAGAGATACAGAAGCGAACAACGTAAAGCTTTGAGGACTAGTGGTACCTGTATGTGGTAGGGCCTGTTTGATGTAAGAACCACATTGAGGTGAAGCTAATTGCAAGACCTAGCAATCCACTGGCTGTTGCCACGATCCAGAAACCTGGTAACTCAATCACATCCCTGCAGACATAGGTAGAAGCATTTTTTGTGAAAATCTTGCTAGCTAGCTATAAGGCATGCCATGAAGAAGAACGAATTTGACTTGTGGTGTTGTGACAATTGCTTGCTTACGTGGTGATTACATATCTCCATTCGCCAGCCAACAAAATCAACAAGATGCCGAAGGGTAGAGACAAGAGATTGTTGAGTAACACCATTGAGATCTCATTTAGAGTGCCAGTTTTCGTGGTCTGCTTTGCTTTGTCCATCACCCGTCGCAGAGTGAGCTGCGAGAGAGCACATAGATTTATTGAATGTTTAGTTGGCATTATCTGTAGTTAACTCCAAGAAGCACAATCCAATAACTGCCAAAAGCTACATAATTCAATTCACTAGTTCTTTCTTTTCTGTTTTCTTCTTAGCCCATCTTAAACTACATACCGAGTAGCTTGCAGTTAAGATGCAATTTGCAGTTTGCCATGCGTAACCAGTTGCATCGAAGGAGAGATCTGTAATGCCACCACTAACAGCTGAGATGATCTGCAGAAGAAAGTTCCAGAGTTGAAGAAGAAACAGGAAGGGGACGATAGAATCATTCATGAAACCAAAAGCAGGATAAAAGCAGAACAAAAACTACTCCACGATTGGAATGGTTAAGCAAGTGCAAGATCAAAGTGTTCTGAAAGTACCACTCAGCAAACTAAGAAGTTGCTACAGATTTATAAATAAGTAAACAAATATGCATACCATCAAGAACATGGCCGTCCACACTTTCTGATTCTGATGTTTCCGGAAAATGTATAGTTCTCCAAGTGCCGTTAAGATGTTTGTCATATTCTTCAAAATTGTGACCATTGCAACATTTATGTATTTAAGGCTGAAAAGGGGCAGAAGCAGGCCTAATTAGATCTCCAGAACACAGTGAAAATTGTCTCAATAACTCAATTGATGATTTGTTGAGATTCTAGTTTATGCATACATACCTGTACATGCCAGAAACAAGCATGCCCACAAAGATTATGTTGACTGGAATCCAGAGCTTCACTAGCTTCCAGTTGAGTTTTTCAACCGAAACAGCTCCAGACAGACCCAGGATAGCAACAACCAGACAACATATGAAATTCTGCACCAACATAACAGGCAAAAGCATTTTACTACTATATACAGAAGCTTTACTTCATGTTCATCTCAACAATTTACAACAGAAAATGGGTTTAAGGGAAGTATTTGCACGGTTCACAACGTGAACAAACTGGACAAGGTTGAAAAGTCTGGAACGAGTAATGTACCTGATAGAGCATCAAAGAAGTCCCTGCATTGAAATTGTAGGTTGATAGAACAACCTTATTCAGCAATATCATGCTGCAAGAAGAAACGCAGTATGCAGCTCCAGATACAAGAGGACCCGATCTTCTCCCCGGTCTATGGTCCCGTGTTTCATCCCCGTCAACTGGAGCACTGTTGTGGCTCCCTCTGAAGAGCCTGAAGACCAAAAGGAGAGACATTTACACCATATCCCAATTCCAGCAAGAAAAGACAATGGTGAAGCATATCTACTAGACCAGCAGCAACAGTCACAGATAGTCTTGAACTCGGGCTCACCTGTCACCAACCGCTCTACGCTCTGGGTTCGTGGAGAAACCCACACCCGTAGCATCCTTGGCCGGAGTCAGTTCTCCGGCGCCGACGGAGCTGCTGGTAATGAGTCCTGATTCTTCATCGTGATCCTTGGGAACCACCACTTGTAACTTGAAATCAGACATGCCAATTACTACACCACCTCCTGGAAACTACAAATTGAGATGTGGGCAGAAGAGAGGGAACTTAAAACCCTCAGTCATCCGGTTGTAATCGATCTCAGAATAGTAAGGTTAACGATTGTGCCGTGAATTGGAAGGGAAACGGAGAAGAATAAAGCAGCCGACAGTGGCGGGACACGATGGAGATCACGGGGAGACGAGTAGTTGGCGTTGAATGCGAGGGATGGATCTTTTTGAATGGCACGCAAAGGGAGAAGAGGGTGAGCGGGATTCGAGGAGGAAGAAGAGGAAACAGGCAGCGGCCATGGAGATTGAATATTGGAGGGAAGGGAAAAAGCCACTCTGAGAAACTGTTGAATTGAATTAATGGGGCAGTTCCCGATGCCGCGTCGAAAGTCAAACAGGAGGCTCCTCCATCGTAGATCCATAATCGTCGTCGATGGCTCCATTCCACTGCTGGGCTTCTACTGAGGAAGAATCTGTGACTGGCAGCTTCGATTGATATTTTATTATTACTGAGGAGAATTCTTTCCAACAAACGGCCCTGGATCGAACAGCAATAGATTTGGGGATCCCACGAACCCTTTTCCAATTCTTTAATTTTTTAGTTTTCTGGCAGCAAATTTCCTTTCTACACACCGGAAAAAATGGCGACATGAGTGCTTGCTTGCATAATCAATTGCTTCTTCTTCTTCTTCTTTGGTTCAATTTGCCTGGCAATTGGCACGGAATTTAGTCAGGGATGGGCCCAAGAGTAAGCCCAGTTGGTGAGCGGACTGCGTAATGTTAATCTTGGGCCGGCCCATCTCCTTCTGGCCCGAGGCATTGGATATGGAGTGGAGTGTAGGAAAGTAGGAATGATAATCAAAGGGTTAATTGCATGATTGGTCATTGAGATTACAAAAAACGTTCATGTTTGGTCACTCTCCGTCCAACTCCGTTAAATTTGTCTGATGTGGCAGTCAACCCTCAAAATTTACTGTTAACTCAGTGACGTGGCAATTAAAAAAATAATAAATAAAATAATTTTAATCTTCTACCATTTCCAACTCATTTTCACAATAAAGTAAAATAAATAAATAATTAATTAATTAATACAAGACAATTAATCACTAGCCTTCCCAACCATATTCACCAATCGCTATGGCTGCCCGTTCTTTGGATCCAGCAACCAGCAATCATCTTCAATTCTGGACCACTGACGTCGGAGCTGGGCAACTTAAAGAGCTTGAAATCCATGGATTTGTCCAACAACATGCTCCAAGGGGAGATTCCACCTGCTTTCGTTGAACTCAAGAACTTGACTCTCCTCAATCTCTTCAGAAACAAGCTCCATGGCGCCATTCCGGAGTTCATCGGCGAGATGCCGCAGCTTGAGGTGTTGCAGCTCTGGGAGAATAACTTCACCGAAAACATTCCTCAAGCGTTATCGGAGCTTACCCAAATGGAGCTTCAATACAATCTATTGACCGAAGAGTTTCCCGTTACTACCGAGGCTGTAGCCATGAATCTTGGCCAAACCAGTCTCTCCAACAATGAGCTCTATGGGCCATTGCCTCCGACTATCGGCAACTTCTCTGGTGTTCAGAAGTTGCTTCTCGACGGGAATCAATTCACGGGTTCAATCCCTTCATATATCGGAAAGCTACAGCAGCTTTCGAAGATGGATTTCAGCCACAACAAGTTATCAGGGCCAATCACACCTGAGATCAGTCAATGCAAGCTGCTGACGTTCGTGGATCTGAGTCGAAACCAACTCTCCGGTGAAATTCCGAATGAGATTACAGCGATCAGGATCTTGAACTAACTGAATGTATCGAGAAACAATCTCATCGGTAGCATTCTCCACCCATTTCCACTATGCAGGGCTTAACATCTGTTGATTTCTCTTACAACAATCTCTCTGGTTTAGTCCCTGGTACTGGTCAGTTTAGCTACTTTAACTACACTTCCTTTCTGGGTAATCCGGATCTCTGCGGTCCTTACCTGGGTCCTTGCAAAGATGGGGTCCTTGTAACTATAATAATTGTAACACCCCAAACATCGAGAAATTTATAAACAAACTAAATTTAACGAGGAAACAAGAATTCCATTCCTATGCGAGTAAGTTGCGATTGAAACTATTGATTGATGACATTTTAAGTAAGAATATTCTGGGTCAATTTCTTAATAATCAGTATCTAAGCTCGACACTCTAAGTTAAAAAATTATTCTACGATCACTTAGAATTTTACAGATCTTAATTCCGAGTCCAAACGAGTGAGATAAGTTAGTCCATAGTGGAACCTATCGTTAGAGTAACGTTTGCGTACCTAAAGCTAAAACGAACGTATCTTATTCGTTTGACGTTGAAATAACGAGCCGTTTGCGCCCATGCGATCGTATCGACAGGAAGAACATTTTAGAGTGAACAGATATAACCCAGAACATCTATATAATCTTGATGATCACCGACACAAAGGGGGAGAATTAACCTCACTCCACTCGTTACAGCCACCCCAAATCACACTTAAAGTAGCCTTTCACAAATTACCCTTCCTAGCATAATTGTATTGATCTTATTTACACCCATCTGTCTACTAACCACCCAACAAGTCCTTTACACCCATTTCCCTTATCCCATCAGCTCGTGAAACTCTATTATTAGAGACAGCTAGCTACTGCTAGACAACCCATATCAACTAGCCTCTCTCTCTCGGTCCTTAAATTAAACCTAGGGAAAAGAGTGTGAGAAAGCCATCCATCTGCATCTCGTATCCAAAACCCCCATTTCTCATTGTTCAAATAAACATCACTGCTACCTACTCATTGCTATCACCATCACAAATTGTCTCCATCTCTCCGCAAGAAAATCAAACACCACCAGAAGCTAAAGCGCTTTTGCCTTCTTGCCCAATCATCATCGTCACCACTACTAGCTAGCAGGAGGAGGGCCGAGTAAAACAATAGCACTCATCCATCTCGTCATCATCCCACCACACCATCGTCGTTACTAGAGAAGGACCACAAAATTAGCAGTGGTTTCCTTTCATATCTTCTCGAGACCAGTAGGTAAGAGCTATGAATCCCAAACCCTTTTCAAGCCTCGAAGCTACATAATTAGCTAACTATGGTTGTTGCGTCGTAGCTGCGGCGACAACAGTACGAGGTGATCAAAGGATTGATCTAAGCGATAAACTGTGGTTCAACAGCTCGTATCTACCCTAGGCTTGCTTTGAGGGTGAGTACTCATCCCAATCGATCTCCGTATTTGATTTCGATCAAAACTAACTCAAACCCACGTATATAATGGTCGTAACTTCGACAGAGGCTCCGGCGTGGGTCGACCTCGACCAAACTTCAAAACCTTGGTATCATCGTGAAGAGGACGATCCCAGGATCGTCACCGTTTTGACGAAATCGAATTTCGACGTTAGACGAGGGAGAACGGAGCTACGAAAGTTTGAGACGTGAGCTGAAACGTGCAGGTACCTGTCTGCGAGAAAATATCTAGATTAGTCCCCCATGTTTTTAGTATGAGCCAGATTGGTCTCCTACGTTTCAAATTTTGACAATTGACCGAAAGTAGTATTTTCTTATGGACATGTTTACTTCCGACGCGTTTCAGTGAATATTTTTATGATTTGATAATTTTATAAATTAGAGAATATATTTCGATGACTGGATAATAATTTGAGAATTTTATGAGCTGTATTTATAATTCTAAAATTCGTTAGAACATCGGTTTTAGAAAATTAAAATACTGTATAAGCGACTTCGGTATGTTTGATAATTTTATACGTAACTAGGGTGCAATAAGGTTACTCATAATAAATTTGGAGATTTTAAGAGGTGATTTAATATTTATAAAAATTAAACTAAGGACGGTTTTATTTAACTAAAATAGTAAAAGAAGGCTCCTGACCCATTTGATAATTTACAAGAATCTAGAATGACGTTTTGATATTATAAAATTATAGATTTAAGGAGGATAGTTTTTAGTGAGTTAAAGGTGATAAATTGAGCAGTATCGACTAAAAGGATATACGTTTAAATTATAGTTTAAGGTAGCAATCGGAGTAAGGGTTTCCACATCAAGGGAACTAAGTAATCGCCACAAGAGGTGAGTGTAAAGGGGGTAAAATCTACGCCTTACATATTTCCAAGTATTTACCTTACGGTAATTTCGTTTGAGATTTGCTACTACGTGTCATATATGCTTATGTATGTTTACGTGATGCATGATATTACGTGTAAGTTATGTTTCCAGTCATACAGTTGATGACATGTATTTAATTACCAGTAAGTTACTTTTAAGGAGTACAACACCTTCAAGGAAGGTGTAAAGTTTTAAGAATTTTTAGTCGCTAGCGCCAGTCCGTTGCCCATATGAGATTTTGAGATGAGCAGCAGTTATGCTCTTAAGACTTTTAAGATGAGCAGCAGTTATGCTCTTGAGGATCATGGTGAAGAGCCACCATGATAAGTATAAGATGTTAGGGAATTGTTGCGACTCCCCTAACTAAGTTTAAGTTTAAGTAAGCCTGCATGGGCTCTCATACGTATGAGTTGGGCAACCGGACTAGCTAGTGGGGGATCCCAGTGTCGGTCAAAGTTTTAAAGTTTTTGAGAGTGGGGTTAAGAGTAAATCCCACGTTTTAAGATTAAAGTTTAAAGGGCGAAAGTATAATCAACTTCCACTAATTTATTGTTTGAGGAACACTTAAGGTAATAATCCGTAAGTGGTTCAAGTTTAAGTAATGGCGTAGACTGACCCCAACTCACTCACCAGATCGTAGAGGAGAAGATCAAGATCAGATAGTTCGTGGGCAACAGGTTAGAGGGGCTCAACATCAGCGTCGTTAAAGCATGGCGGACCAAGCATCAGAGTAAGCGTTGGGCAAAACTTTTAAGTTATTTGGACTTTTGGTTGAAAGTTAAGAACTGGAGATTCTGGTCGTTTGATTCTTTTAAGAATATGATTTGGAGTTTTGCCCACATGTTTAGGGCTTGTCATTGAGACTTCAAATTATTAAAGTTTGGTGTATTTATTTTAAGTGTGTTTATGAATAATTTTTTTAAATATACCCCGGGGTAGAAATGTCTTTTACATGTCTTAAAAAGGTGGGATGTAACATTTTGTGGTATCAGAGCCGGTCTTCCTCTATTTCTTGGTTCCTAAGAAATACTGGAATAACGGTCTTAGTTTTAAAAATTTGTTTAAAGAAAGTAAAGTGAGTTTTAAGTTAAAGTTTTGGCCAAACGAGTCAAGAATTTTCTTTTAAGAGTCGATAGAATCTCCAGTCTACTCTCAACCATGTTAAGAAAGAAATAACTGAGGTTTAACGAGATCGTATGTGTCTACAGAGCAAGTGTTGGCCAGAATCCAGCCCCGGTTGTGCCACCACAAGTGAGACCTCCACCGGATTACATAGCTTTCCGGAAGAGAAAGGTGGAAGATTTTAAGGGGGACCGTTCAACAGACCCCATGGAGGTTGAGCAGTGGCTAGCTAAGTTCACCCGTACCCTGGTCGAAATGAGGGCTGATGACGAGGACAGGGTACTGCTGACAGTATCTTTGCTACAAGACACTGCTTACAACTGGTGGGCAAACCAGCCAGCTAGTCAAGAGGATCCACCGGCCATCACTTGGCTAGGGTTCGTGCAGTTGTTCAAAGACCACTTCATACCTGAGGCTTACCGGATCGGGAAGCAGAGGGAATTTATGCTGATAAGGCAGAGGTGGGGCAACGAAGGAAGAGAGAGCGTGGCTGACTACACGGCGAGATTTGACAAACTGCTTGCCTATGGAGGACCTCAATTTCAGGATGCACATGCACAACGCATCCACTACCTGGAGAGCCTGAAGCCTCCTTTTAGGCGTCAATTGAGTATGCTGAATTGGAACAACAGAGAGGAGATCTATCAAGCAGCTCTCCGGTTGGAGAGGGCAGATACAGCCCTGCACGAGGAGGGGATGCAAAGAGAAGGGAACAAGAGAAAGGCTGCCAGCCTTTCAGAGGGGCCAAGCCAGCTGAGTCATTCAAGGAGGAGACCGAGCCAGAGCTACTATGGGGTCACTCAGAGCCATGCCGGCTCAACCCGATCAGGGCCAACCTATATTCACCGGGACCCATGTAACAAGTGTGGGAGAACTCACCCGGGAGAGTGTAAGGTACATATGGGAGGCATATGCTATCACTGCAATGAGCCGGGCCACTATGCTAGAGATTGCCCTAGGAAAGGAGGGCAAGGGAGAGCTCAGTCTGAACAATCAGTCAGGGGCGGAGGAGGAAGAACACAAGCCGGACAGCAGTTTAACAACAATCCAAACCGGTCCTATCAGCAACAGGGAGGCAATGCAGGGCGGTTCAACCGCAACGAGCGAGATCGAGGGCAAGGATCTCAAGTGGCTGGGCAACCAAGACTGTTTGCCATGAGGAGGGAAGAAGCTGTTGCTGCACCCGATGTGGTGACTGGTATGATTTCACTTTACCATCAGCCAGCCTTTGTATTATTCGATTCTGGTTCCACGCACTCTTTCATTTCGACCAAGCTTGCTAGGATCGTAGGGATCCCATCTGTGAGATTGAGACAGAATTTAGGGGTAAGAACCCCAGTAGGGGATACCCTAATAGTAGACTCAGTCATTCGGGGTTGTCTTATCACTGTGGCGGGCCACAAATTTGAGGCGAACCTGATTCTGCTACCGTTCGACGAATTCGATGTTATCTTGGGCATGGATTGGCTATCCAAGAACAGAGCGAAGATGGACTGCTATAAAAAGGAGGTTTGTCTGGAGATAGAAGGAAAAGACACTGCACTATT